GGGGGGGGGGGGGAGAGAAGTGTGCAGGTACAACATCTTTGCTAGTGCACTGTAACAAGGATGTTGTCTGATCACTGTCTTTAAGAGTGCACCTGCTCATCCCTGCAGCACTCCAGACAGCATGCCACACAGCCTGTGTAGTCAGCCTCTGAAACTACTTCTAGGTCAGCTGATTGTATAAATGGGCACAAAGGAATCTAGGCCACTTGACACACGATCCAGGTAGAACTGAACTAACCAGGTAATATAACTATCCAGAGCTTGAAATGGGATTTTTAGGGTTGCCAGTCAAGTGGTGAAATCCATACTACAGCTATGGCTGTTGCAGCCTTTCCCACTAGCACTCATATTCTGTACTTCCTTACAAGATCTTTACTACACACATTATGTGGGAAGTTTTTTTTCAAAGCCCCACACTGGTCCTGGACTACCAACCCATGGAGAGATCTTTCCACCTCAGGCCTTGCATTACTATTGTTTCCACCTGAACAATAAGAAGGCCCTCAAGTTGCAGTGCTGGTGCTCAACTCCTTGACTTGCTCCAAATGGCATATTGCGCCCAGATGCACCTTCATGCCGGCCCTGATGCCAGCAGGAAATGGGTCAAGATGTGTACTTGGGCTTTAAAGCCACTTTTGGTACAAAATAATAAATAAACCAGAAATTCTCAGCTTCCAGTGCCACTTGCCCTAAGACTGGTCTCCCTGCCTAGAGAACTAGAAAAGCACAGCTATTCCTTGAGATTCCAGCTGCTGCTCTGAAACCTGCCCCAAAATAAAATTACCACATTTTTGGAAACACTAAATATTGTCCTTCTAGTAGCTGGAAACTATGACCAACAGGAGAGTTCAGCTGATGACATGGCTTCCATTAGCAAGCAGAGAACTATCTTCCCTCCCCTGTTGTTCCTTCTGTGCCTTGAAAATTTGCTATAGGGATAGGAATCTGAATGAGGTTTCCAGGTGATGCAATTCAGAGTGCAGGACGGAGGAACAAAGGCAAAGTACTGGTTTCCAGGTGATGCAATTCAGAGTGCAGAAGGGAGGAACAAAGGCAAAGTAGGTCACATCATAATGGTGGTAAGGTTCACCATGATAATGGATTGAGTCCTGTGTCATCTGCATAACAAGAATGAGCAAAGAAAGAATGCACACTGTTTGCAACAAATGCAATATGTTTTAAACCTTTGGATTAAAAAGAAGTGTGCCAGGTTCTACCATGATAATGGATTGAGTCCTGTGTCATCTGCATAACAAGAATGAGCAAAGAAAGAATGCACACTGTTTGCAACAAATGCAATATGTTTTAAACCTTTGGATTAAAAAGAAGTGTGCCTGTGTGTGTATGTGTGCGTGTGCGTGTGTGCGTGCATGTGCACATGAGTGCCTCTGTGTGTGTATGCAGAGGAAATCCTGACTATCCATGTTTTTAAAAATTCAAAGTGACTCAATAAAGAAGTACCCAAATACTGTAGTGAATCAGTAGTAAGTATCAGAAATCCAGACATCTGCTTTGCAAACATAGAGAAACAATTCCTTTTGGAAATAGGATATTAATTTGTTCTGAATCCAAACTGTACATCTGGTATATTAAACATTTCTTTAGATTACGCATTACAGCACTATCACAAAGGTGTACAGGGCAGTGATTTTGTTTGATACAATGCGGTTTCAAAACTAAGGCTCAGCTGCTGTTGTTTTTTATGGTTATTGTTTGTATGCATGGGCATCCCAGCCAGAATACATTAAAAACACATTTGACATCAGTATAGTAAGGTCCAAGATGCTGCTTTTTTTAAGGCAGACAAATGTGACAGGTGTGATCCCATTCAGTGGATACATCAAGAAGAACCAAAAACACTAAAACCAAATAACATTAAATTGTATCTTCAGAGAAGCAAAGCTGGTAGAAGTGTTCTCTAATCAATCTAAAACCTGTGCTACGTTAAAACTTTGTTGTCTGCAAAAGAATAAGAGAGTTTTTTTTAAAGCATGCTTTTTCATTTCATTTAATTGCAAATAGTAGAATTGTTCCACTGTGAATTATCCTAACTGTGAATTGTGACACTTAAACCCAGAAATCTTGAATTGTTGTTACCCAGATGGCTTAGCCGTATACACCTGGTTAGTTTCCTGGCCTCAAAAATTAGCAGAGGAGAAGATCCTCTGGTTAGGATATAAACCACACCACAGTTTTTAGTTCCAGTGTTCTATCAAAATATTACATGATCATAAAGAAATATACACTACTGATGGGACATAAGACAGACAGATACAAAGATGCTACAGGACAAAGACAAAACATAGATAATGCCCTTTTTTTAATGAGTAAACTCACCAGAATCTTTCTCCCTGTTTGACAAATGGCCATCTCATACTCCTTCTACTCCTACCTGAAAACACCAATACTGATTCTACTAAGAGAGAAGATTGTAGTGATTACACAAACCTTTACTTATTCTGATTTCGAATTCGGAGGCACCTCCTTTTCAGTGGTGGCTCCAGATCTTCTGGCCCCGTGCTGAGAATTGGCGTTGAGATAATGCACGGTGCAATAGCAGTCTTTTCCGCTGGTTTTGGCACAGGCTGGATGACGCAGCCTGCTTTGGGTAGCATCCTCAAAGCATATGCATGGTCCTCATCTGCTGGATTATTGAGGTTGGGATCTTGCTTGTCACTCCCAAACAGGGGCTCTTCCCCAGTTTTCTTACCAGACTCTCCTTCTCGGCGGCAGTTCGAAGTACAGTTGTTTTCTTTCACTGACTCCAGCTCACTCACCGGCAACTCCTCCAGAAGCTGAGGCTTCTTCTGTTCTTGGGGTTGTTCTGAGTTCTTAGAAGCCTCTGGGGCCTTTGTGCCATTCACAATGACATTGCAAACTGCAGCTGCACTATTTTCCGGCACACTAGAAGTCAGTGTGACAGAACCAGAGTGAGCTGGGTCACTGCAAGGTAAAGTTTTTGTTTCCATATGGCTGCAATTGTTCCTGCAGTCGTTGCAGTTCCTTTTATCTGAACTACCAAAAGCCAAGTTTACAACACTGCTAGCATCAGGTTCAACTTTGACTTGAGCGTGTAAAGCCCTGTGGATAACATTGTGTAGTCTAGACCTGTGACCTACAGTTAAGTCTATCACGCCATCCTGTGGTGGTCCCTGTAGTACTGTAGGAAAAGCAAATTTCTTGTTCACTGGACTACTAGGTCTCACAGTCAAGTCAACAACTTCATTTTTACTGTGCTCCTGATGCACTTGTGTTTGACTTAAAGACTGGCCTGAGCAGCTTGGTGCTGAGTCAGAGGACTTGGGAGGGCCTTGTTTTGAATCTCTGGGGGACATGGAGTTATTTGTTGGCTTTGCCCCAGTTGCATCACTGGATGTACTTGGAATGAAGCTTTCCCCATTGCTGGAAAAGCCATTTGGGGGCTTGGAATCATTGATATGGGGAATAGGGATTGGAATAGGGATAGGAACTGGAAGAGGAACAATGACAGGATATGGCACTAACAGGGTTGGAGGTGGCACCAATGGGGCAAGAGATGGCAAGCCAAAGTTCATCATCTGTGGCATAGGCATAGGGCCATTTGGCATCATGCTTACAGGAGGGAAGGGAAGACTGGGCAAGGGGACTCCTGGAGGAGGAGGAGGCAGTAAACCAGGGGGATTTCCAGGCATTGTGGGGGTTGTTGGCGGGTGGATATGAGGGGAGAGTAATGGCCTGTGCATAGGACTAGAGGTGGGGCCCAGATTTCTAGGAGCACCTGGTGGTGGACCAATTCCAGGAATCATCGGATTGGACAGAGGACTATTTGGATTTGAGGCATGATGAGGCGGTCCTCGAATAAATGGTGGGCGAATTTGCTGCAAAATTTGCTGCTCCATGAATATGGGCAAGGGAACCGGTCCACGGTTTGTCATCACCATGGGAGGGCTTCGAGGTGGGACACCAATTGGAGGCACAATGCTAGCAGGTGGCTGAACAGAAACTGGTGTAATATTTGGATTCTCAGTGATGGAAACAGGTTTGGGAACAGGCGTTGGGATTTTAGTGATAGAACAGTTGGCAGTGTCAGGCGGAGAGGCAGTGGTAGATGCGGATGGTCCAGGACCTTGAATTTGGCCAGCTGCAGACACTGGGGATGGAGCCTTTCTCCGAGCATCTGCTAGCGGTATATTCCAAGAATCTGGAGTCAGCAGCTGCACCCCAGTGCCTTCTGCTTTATTTTCGACTGGAGGATGTAATGTGCTGCAGAGTCCAGCTGGAAGATTGGCCTGCGTCTCTTTGTAGAAAATATCCATTTTGTACTGATTGAGACATTTTGCACTGCAGAACTGAAGCCGTCTTTCCCCGTCCCCAAAATCCAGATACTCTTTTGTGTGTCTTATGTGCTTACACCAGTCACATACCTACAACACAGTAACAAAATCAAAACAGGTAAGAAAAAAAGTGATTTCCTTTTTGTATTGTCATTTGCATTTTAAATCTTTTTTTACTGTTTCTAAACAGATGAATTATCAAGGAAAAATGAATTTCATGAAACTGCTCAGTGAAGTCTCATGCCTATTAACACAGCTGATCTCATCTGCAATGCTGAGGTACTTTGGTACTGAATATAGTTTTGTGAATATGTGTGTGATACTCCCACAAGATTTTGCAAAAGCATTATTATTTTACCAGATTTTTTAACATCTACATTTACATGAAGAAATGCTTAGAGTAGTACATCCTCACCTCATATCTTATTTCTGCCATGAAATCATTAATAAGAATTCACTAAATTATTACTTCTGTTATGAAGTACTTCTATTATGACATGCATAATAGTGTGCTCAATAAACATGCATAGTAATAATACTATAACAGCAATATTAATACAGTACTAGAATGTGAATTTACTCAGAAGGAAGCCTCCATATTCAAACAATATTCTGCACTGCCTGTGTAAAGGACTGCAACCTAAACAGTATTAAGCAGCCTCATTATTTTCTCCTTTACAGTGTTGTTGTACAAGCTGCAAAAAGAATGTGAATCATGTGGAGCACTTTAAGACCAAAGAGCTTTTGAGTAACGTTGTGCAATATTTGCTGTATTTTACAGTATATTCGCAGTCCAGCTTTGCATTATGAGTTCTTAACCACTGTGATGCCAGAAGAGCAAACACTAAGCTTTAGCTTGGTATTGGACTGCAGTTTTCCCAAAAGATATTGCTGAACTGGTCAGACAAATCCAAACCGACAAGCTGAACATCTATCTGCATAAATGAGACAAATAACACTGGGAAAATGATCCTGTGGCTCAAGACAACGTAGAGAAAATACCTACAAGATGCCATTTTACATTATAGAAACATCAAAGTTAGAATTTCAAATGGTACGTCAAAAGCAAAAGCACTATACATTATTAGCTTTCTCTTCCAGGTATCAATAGAAAAATAGCAATAAAATCTGGGAGATTTCCAAGTATTCTGAAACTGTGATATTTCAACAAGTTAGAAACATGCTTCAAGCTGTCTTCCCTCTCTTCTTCACCAATCCCTCCTATATAACTTTTTGGCAGAAAACAATTTTCATAACTTTTAAAAAACTAAGGAAAAAACCTTGTACTGTATTATCACAGTTTTATTATACCAAATGCAAGTTATTCTTGCTTTGTATTCCTATCAGTTTGGTGATGATGCTGGCATATTCTAAACAAAATAAGTAAACTAAAGCTGCAGAACTAATTAGGCTGTGAAAGGTTTTCCCAGTTGTAAGCCACTAGAAACCAAAGTTCAAAAAACAGTCATTCTAGGTTTTAGAATCCATTACTTCAGAGAAATTATTGTGATTTCATTAACACATTAATTTTGCAACACCAACAGCTCTCACAGATGGCGGAGACATGATCTACAATTCAAATATGACTCTTGTTTGCACAAATGCCTTTTCCTTCATATGGCATTTTAAACAAGAATTAAAATGAGTAATCTTTCCACAGCTATAAACAGATAAACAGATGTCAGAATTTTCAGCAGGGGGTGGGGAATGGTTTGACAGATTTTACACCCAGAGAAGAAAATTCTGAAATGTTGTCATTTGCTCAATTCACATAATATAAACTTTTTTCAGTGTTACATATAATAAAAATATTAAGTTTATACTGATATGAAACCACTGCTCTATATACATATTTTCTATTTAATATTGGTAATACTTTATCTTTTTTAAAAAAAATTACAGCAAGATATAATTGTGAAATAAAACAGCAAAAGGTTATTTAATTTTAATAACTACTGGCCATATAAACAACATATGCTGGGCATTTGGTTACTTGTCTCATTTAACTCTCAGCTTTCTTTTATCAAATACAGTGATGTCACTTTTTAAAAACCTGTACGTGAGTCTGACAAAATTAAGCACTTTTACAGAACATTCATTCCCAGAATAACCCTATGTATGTTCACAGAGCTAGTTCTACCACCTTCAGTGGCCATTACTCCCATGTAAGTCTGCACAGCATTTAGTCTCTGCCTCCTTGAAATCAGAAGGATTTCAATGGATTCAAATTTGCCTGAAATAGACTTGGTGTTTCTCAGTCACTAGAAGTATTCTCAAGGCATGTCTGTACAGAGCTTATTTGTGACATCAGACGTCACTTATATTCTGGGATATAAACTGGGACAGAATATAAATACATCGATCCCAGTCCCACATACACCAAGGCTTCAGTAAACATTTTATTGATTTCATTTGTCTTATTTATAGGGCACCTCAAGGCAGCTCATAGTATTAAAAAGGATAGAATTAAAAATTAGAGCTGTTGGCAGAAGGATAAAAGGGAGGGGGGCCAACCTGACTTCCTGAGGGACAGTATTCCATAACCTGAGAGTTGCCACAGAGAAAGCCCTCTCTCATGTCCCCATCAATGGTACCAGTGCTGGCAATGGGATCGAAAATAGGGCCTCTCTGACAATCTTAAGGCTCATGGGGGGGGGGAATATGGTCCTTCAGGTAGCCGGGATGTAAGCCTTATGGGCTTTATAGGTAAGTACCAGCACTTTGATTTGGGCCTGGAAACAGACTGGTAGTCAGTGAAGTTGTTATAGAAGGGGCATTCTATGCCCCTTAGAACTGCTCCCAGTCAGTAGTCTGGCTGCTGCATTTTGAACCAGCAGAAATTCCTGAACTGTCTTCAAAGGCAGCCCCATGTAGAGCACATTACAGTAATATAATTGGAATATAACTAAGTCAGGCATCAATGTAGCCAGATCAGACATCTCAAGCAATGGGCGCAGCTGGCACACCAGTTTTAACTGTGCAGATGCACTCTCAGCCACTGCCAAAACCTGGGCGCTCAGGGAGGAATCCAGGAGTACACCCAAACTGCAAATCTGGTAAAAAATCTGGTAAAATGATAAAAAACATTGCCCCCACCCTTTTACTGAGAGATTACTATGGGGTATTCAGGCAAAGAGACTCTATTCAGAAGTAAATACACCCCCTCACATTTCATAAATATTTAGTCTATCTTTACATGTGACAACACTGAAGAAATGACACTTGGCTACAATGTAAAGCAGTGAGTATACAGCTTGTATAACATTGTAAATATGCTGTCCCCTCAAAATAACGCAACACACAGCCATTAATGGCTAAACCGCTGGCAACAAAATTGAGTACACCCCTAAGTGACAATGCCCAATTTGGGCCCAAGTAGCCATTTTCTGAATGTCCAAATTGGGCCCAAGTAGCCATTTGCTGTCCCTGGTGTCATGAGACCCATTAGTGTCACAAGTCTCAGGTGTGAAGGGGGAGCAGGTGTTATCGTTCTCTTTCAGATTGGTCACTGGAAGTTCCACATGGGACCTCATGGTAATGAACTATCTGAAGATCTGAAAAAACAAATTGTTGCTATACATAAAGATAGCCTAGGTTAAAAGAAGATTGCCAACACCCTGAAACTGAGCTGTAGCACAGCACAGTGGCCAAGACCATACAGAGGTTTAACAGGACAGGTTCCACTCAGAACAGGCCTCGCCATGGTTGACCAAAGAAATTGAGTGCCCGTGCTCAGTGTCTATCCAGGGGTTGGCTTTGGGAAATAGACGTATGAGTGCTGCCAGCATTGCTGCAGAGCTTGAAGGGGGAAGTCAGCCTATGAGTGCTCAGACCACATGCTGCGCACTGCATCAAATTGGTCTCCAGGGCTGTCGTCCCAGAAGGAAGCATCTTCTAAAGATGATGTCCAAGAAAGCCTGGATGGTATCAAAGTAGTGGCGAGAACAGTGTCCTTTGTCTCACAGGCTTATGATATGAAGATTTAACATTTTCTTGAAGGTATTGTAGTAACTTTTGAGAAACTGAGAAGTAAATAATTCATTTTAAAATTGTAAATATAGTGGTAACTAATGACCTTTAGGGGAATCTAGTAACTGAGAATGGGATACCAAGTGTAGTGTGTCACAGATTTATTAATGATAAATGGACTGTTTTAATATAGGGCATTATTATAATATTGCCTATTTTAATGGTTTTAATGTTTTTTTTTAAAGTTTTAATGTTGTATGCCATTCTGAGACCATTGGTAATGGCTCGGCTAAAAAAATCTTGTAAATAAATAAATACATGTCCTTTGACATACTGAAGCAGAGCATGATCATCTCCCTTCAGAGACTGGGCCACAGGGCAGTATTCCAACATGGTAACGACCCCAAACACACCTCCAAAACAACCACTGCCCTTGCCAAAGAAGCTGGGGGTAAAGGTGATGGACTGGCCAAGCTTGTCTCCAGACCTAAACCCTATTGAGCATCTGTGGGGCATCCTGAAACAGAAGGTGGAGGTGCGCAAGGTCTCTGACAGCCAGCAGCTCTGTGATGTCGTCATCGGGGAGTGGAAGATGACCCCAGGGGTAACCCGTGAAGCTCTGGTAAACTCTATGCCCAAGAGGGTTAAGGCAGGGCTGGAAAATAATGGTGGCCACACAAACTTTTGACACTTGGGGCCCAATTTGGACATTGTCACTTAGGGGTGTACTCACTTTTGTTCCCAGCAGTTTAGACATTAATGGCTGTGTGTTGCGTTATTTTGAGGGGACAACACATTTACAGTGTTATACAAGTTGTATGCTCACTGCTTTACATTGTAGCCAGGTGTCATTTCTTCAGCGTTGTCACATGAAAAGATAGACTAAAATATTTATGAAATGTGAGGGGGTGTACTTACTTCTATGATATACTGTAGTGTACATATATACATACATACTTACATACACAATTTATGATCAGGCTGTATGCAAGAGCATAAATTAAATCATTCTTAAAAATAGTATTTGAAATCTAATGTAAATGCATATAAACAAGCATAAAAAGCATAAAATAGTACAATAATAGTAATAAAATAAGCATTCTCAAAAAAATTAACAAGAT